TGCACCGTCTGGGTCTGACGATCGACACGCGTTCGGGCTTCCTCGGATAATTGATTGTAGGACACGCCTGAGGGTAACAAGTATTTGAACAATGCATGATGATGCCCCGTCCAATCGCAAAACGCCAGTTCTCGAATGATATATTCGTCTCGGGAGAGGGCAAACCCCTGACTGTATACCAAGAGACCCACTTGATGGAGCGCCATGCTTACCGTGTTCAAGGTTTGACTGCGATGAATGAGAGGGATCTTGGAGGCATGGCTGGTTTTATAGCCACTAGGGCGGTCGCTGATTGGTGGACTTACAAATCACACCACACTCACGAGATTGCAGGACGAGTCCGGATTGGTGGAGACCCAGATCGTATGAGCATCACGAGAGGCTAGAGGAGGGGCTATAAAAGGCCGGCCAGATGCTCCCTTGGAGTCATTCATTCAGTCAAGGGGATGGATCGTCAAGCCACTCAACCTGCCGTGGTACCTTCAGGACGCAAACGACGTCGCGTCAGTAAGAAACAAAAACAAGAGGAGGAAGAGAAAGCCACTCAACCCCCGACCAGTGAACTGGTGATTGCTCTCAACGCCTTGCCTAAAGCAGAGGACCCAACGCCTGTGCCTACACCCTCCCCCACCGACCAATCCGTGAACGAGTTGATGGAGGGTACCCTGAAAGATTATAAAGAAGAATGTGTGGAGGAAGGGACGTTTCATTCAGATCCCGCGACAGAAGTAGGGGAATGGGAAATTTTGGACGAGATGGACACTCAGTTCAACCAACTCCTGTATGAAGCATGCCCGTTTCATCCCCAGCGATTCCTGGAATGTGTCAACCCCCGATCCAATTTTGGTCCCTTACGATTCAAGTGTCCCCAAGAAGGGTGTCCGGTCTATTTGTTTGAAGACACGCGGGAGGTGATGATGGAGGCTTTGAAAAAAGACACGCATCCTCAAGTCCAGGCCCGAATCAAACACGGAGAGCTCAAATGCCGATGTGGGTTTGTCCCTAAGATGAAATTGAGTCGCACGGCCAAGAATTACCAGAAAGTGTTTTTTAGTTGTGGGAGCTTTCTCACCCATGCTGAACCCTGTGGTTACTTTCAATGGCTCCATGGTCCCCTGTGGTGTCCCCGAGAGCAAGCGCAACCGACCCTGAGACGATGGGTCCATGACACACCCCCTGAGCTCCAACACAAGCTTATGAAAGACCCCGAGAAGGAGAGACCCTGGGGATTGCACCAGATAGAGATGTACCATAGGGAGAAGCCAAACCCCGTGATAGAAAAGATAAAGTATGATCCGTGGATGAAACAGTTTAGCGATTCTGTCAAAGCCCAGGAGAATGCGTTTGAGAGAAGACGCCATTTTCATAAAAACTTTGGGAGCTCGATCTTGTTTTGAAAAAAAATCATGTAAGGTGTGTGAAAAAAAACTATTAAAGACAGAATTGGACTCGAATCCTGTGTCAGTGTCTTGATGTCGTTGCCACGCGCTTACGAAGATCCCCAAGAACCTGGGGCCTTGGGTGGGGTCCAACCCTTTGCCCGAGCCCATAAATTGAAAACCCCGCAAGCGCAACGGATTCTTCAATCTGTGTTGAGCTATACGCTCCACAAACCCCGACGGACCCGGTTTCCCACCACACCCACGTTGGTCTTTGGTCGAGACGAACAATGGCAAATGGATTTAGTGGATATGCAAAAACTCAGTCGGTGGAACCAAGGCCACAAATATTTGTTAACGGTCATCGACGTCTTATCCAAGTATGCCTGGGCCGTCCCCATCAAATCGAAGAGTGCCGCCAACATGATCAAAGGGTTGGAATCGATACGCCGACGCGCCTCACCACGACGACCCCTCCGCGTACAAACGGATCAAGGCCAAGAATTTTTGAATCGAAAGGTCCAAGCCTGGTTCAAGAAACATGGATGGCATCATTTTTACACGTATGGGGATAGCAAAGCCTCGGTGGTGGAACGATGGCATCGTACCTTGAAACAACGCATGTACCGGTATTTTACCGCGCACAATACGTTACGGTACGTGGATGTGTTACAACCCTTAATCTATACCTACAATCACGCGTATCATCGCAGTATTGGGTTAGCGCCGCATCAAGTCACCTTTCGAAACGAGTCCGAGGTATGGGATCGACTCTATGGAGCACGGTTGAAGCCCAAGATCCCCCCGCCTAAATGTCGCGTGGGCGATCGGGTACGTCTCAACAAGAAACATCGTCCCTTCAAAAAAGGGTATTTGCCGGGCTGGACGGAAGAAGTGTTTGTGGTCACCCACGTGCGTCGTCATCCCGTGGTCACCTATCGACTCAGTGAATGGGACGGCACGCCTATAAAAGGCACGTTTTACGAACCCGATGTCCAAAAAGTCCAAGTATCGGACGATTCGTTGTTTCGAATCGAAAAAGTCTTGAAACGGAAAGGACGTCAAGTCTTGGTCCGGTGGAAAGGGTGGCCAGCCAAGTACGATAGTTGGATTCCTGCGCAACATGGTTCGCGTCAAAATAACGCCTCGAAAAAGAAAAAAGCGGGTGCGGTTTCTCGATGAAGTCCAGGCGGATTCCAGTCGACCGAGGGCTAGTTACACGCCCTCTCCCTCTAGTGACGCAGACGTCCTGAGATTCATCCAGAAAAAAGCCGCCGAACAACGACAAACCCAGCCGTGGTGGGACAAGCTGGCCAGCCCTACCAAGCAGCAATGGGCCTACGCCAATGCTTACCATCGAGCTGAAGAGTATGCCAAGCAACGAGGGGCCTTACGGTCCCCACCCAAGAAACAACGCCGACGCGCCGGACGTCATCCACCCATGCGCAAGAAAAAACCCCCTAAACCCAAGACCTGTATGACCCTGATGGAACTGGCCCGGGCTTTTCCCAACATTGCCCAGCAAGTGTGTTTTCATCCCAAACAATCGACCTTCAATTCAGTGGTGGGACGTGTCCCTCGCAGTAAACAGAAAGTGGCGACTTGGCTATAAAAGGACCCTGCACCCTCTGGGACGTGCCTCTTCTTCATCATGAGTGAGATTAAACGCTTGACGCTCATCAGCGATCCGACCAACGAGTTTCCCAACAATGCCAACAACAGTTTCAAGGTCCGTCTGCCCGAACGAATGGTTTTACCAGGCGAAGGCTGGCACGCGTCCCTGTTGTCCCTGACCGTGCCGGATCAAGGCCAGAGCAATGCCATCATTGCGGCGGATCCTCATACCAAAGTGATCAAATTCAAAATGAGCTATGTGATACGCAAGTGGGTGACGGGGATGTACCGATTCGCCGAGGTGAAAACCGTGGACTGCGTGTTGGAATTGGAAGAGATCATGAATGCGAGTCAAATCGTGGCGACGGGGAGTCAGTTTTGGAAACGCGTGATGCAAGAAATGCACAACAAAATGATGCACAATGTGATGGCGGAACAAATGCGGTGGCTGGTCGCGGAACCTGACCAAAGACCTATTGTCAGTGCCAAACAAAACGCCATGCCCCGACTGACCTGGAAAAAAGGTGCCTTGGTGATTAAGGCCCTTCCCCTAATGGATTTGATTAAAGAGAACAAGAGCACCATCACTGATTTTTTCATCAACCTGGACATTGCGCTCAAGTTTGGGTTGGTAGAGGAAAAGACAGTCAACAACGCGACAAAGTATTACCTAGGGCCCAATATGCAATACACGCTGCCCACCAAGACGTACGATTCGGACACTCCACCCAAAGGGAACTCCCATCGCTCGGCCTACAACTGGGAAGGTGTGAATTACGAGGCCGTCAATCCCTCCTTAGTGTTTGGCAAAATAGTCAGCAGTATTGAACATGATCCCCTGCAAGTTCGGACCCATGATGGTGTGAAGTTTTTGCAATTGTCCTTGATAGTGGAATGGCAGTTGAACAACCTAGATGCCTCGTTTGAAAAGATCGTGGGGACTCGCAGACGGACCGTCATGGTCTATTCGGATCTGGTCGAATCCACCGTGGTGGGCAGTGGCAAGTATCCTCTGTTACGGGAAGTGCAATTGTTAAGAACCGGCGATGGAGAAAGCACAGCCGAACCCTTGCATCACCAATGGATCAAACTCCGAGGAAATCAACTCGAGATCTTGGAAGTGGAGATTGCCAGTACCAGTGGACCCTTGGCCCCCTTACCCCCGGGCAAAACCCTGGTGACCATTGGTCTCAAAAAGCTATAAAAAACCCACCCACGTCTCTAGAAGGTCCAAAAAGCACCACGACGTGAACCATGCGCGGAGGCAGTTTAACGCGGTACCACACGCCCGTGCTCACCAAGCAAGAAGGGAAAGGGTTGGCCGAAGACTTGATCAAACTGGCCGGACCCCTGATCGTGCAACAAGCTCAAGCGGGACTACAAGATATTCAACGGGGCAAGAGTGCCGCGGCCACCTGGGCGGATCGAAGTGCTCAACTCAGCCGTGGATTAAAACGCAAAGCCCCCGCCATGGCCTGGACGGCTGGCAAACACAAGGTCAAACGGACCGCCCAAAATACCTATAAAAGAGCCACGCAACGTGTACGGGATATCTTTGGACTGTAAAAAATGGTACGTGTAGGAGGTTTTCTCAAATCGCAAAATCGTATTCGACGGCAACGCGCCCGTGGACGGTTTATTTCACCGTATCAAGTGGGGGGCACGATCTTTGGCAAGTCGACCATGGCACGCTATCCGTTGATGCATACGTCGTCTCGCCTATTGGATCCCATGGTCCTGAAACACGTGAAACAACGCCATAAGATGAAAGGGGGTACGATTTTTACCCGCAGACGCAATAATAATCCTTTGGGGTTTCCCAGAGCCCCGGACCGGATCAACCCCGCACCCTGGAGAGTGGAGCAGGCCCTACGCCGTATGAAAGGGGGCACCATTTTTGGCAAGGGGGATCTCAGGAAAGTGTTGTGGGCCAATCAAGCCAAAGCCAGGAAGCAACGACAGGGTATAAAAAGGAGACGCCGATGAACCACCTGGACAGTTTGCATCATGTCGCTCGAACTCTTTGACGTACCCGATGTGGATTATCGGTACGAAGCCTCGCGGGAGGTGGAGTTTCAACCCGCCTTGACAGGCATTCAACCCATCACCTTCTCCATTCCAGGCTCCGACGATTATTACGATACCAATTCCCTCCGCTTCAAAGTCAAAGTGCGCCTGACTGATCCAGCAGCCAACTATACAGGATTGCATGCTGGTCTACTCATTTCCAATGCCAACGAAACCAGACATGTTTACTGCGTCAACAATTTCGGTCACACCATCTTTCGAGATATCACCATGAGCATGAATGGTGTCCTCATGACCGAACAGAGCAACACTTACCATTACAGAGCCTACCTAGAAACCCTGTTGAATTACAACCGAGAAGAAGGAACTACCAAGCTAGCCCCCCAAGGATGGGTCAATCAGCTTAATGTGGCAGAAGAAATAGGAGCGACCGCCGCCAATTCCGATGTCCCTGTCGCCGCGGATTGGAGTGGCAATGCAGACTTGCGCACCCTAACCAGCAAGTTGCTGAGTGAAAATTGGCACACCTTCATCGTTCGTCCCCATTTGCCACCCCTCAAGACAGGCAAATTGTTGGTCCCCAATATCCAGATGGATTTTGAACTGTTCCTCAACCCCAAGACCATCTACTTGATGGGCAGCCCTAACAAAGGCACCTTGACCACCAAGAAAATTCCAGCCATCCACAATGAAGACATCAAAGTCACCTTGTTGATGAGAAAAGTGACCCTGAATGCCAGCGTCTATGTCAGACTGCAGAAAGAAAGACAGCTGAACAAACAGATTGCCCGCTACCCTGTCGTGCGGAGCGAAATTCGCACCTTTTCCTTCGATGGTCGCACTACCCAGTGGGAACAAGACAATGTGTTTGTGGGACGATTTCCTGACCGAGTGATCGTCGGGTTATTGCATTCGGATGCCTTCAATGGAAACCTAGAAAAATACCCCTTTGCCTTTGAAAAGTTTGGTGTCACCCAAGTACGACAGACCTTGAATGGAGAAGAATACCCTTACAGAACCCTGCAGTTGACTGGAGACCAAGCCTATGAAGATTTACTGGGCTACGATCGATTTTTACAAGCCATGGGTGCCTATAATGAAGACAAGATCCCCATGCTGCTGCCTGGTGATTGGGGACAAGGCAAGAACTGCACCTTGTTCATGTTTAACAATGTACCCAGTGGAAAAGCCGATGACCCCCAGTATCGCAACCCTCGCCAATCTGGCAATACGCGACTGGTGATTGATTTTGCGGCTGCTGTCGGTCACAACGTCACCGTGTTGGTATGGAGCGAGTATGAAAACATGTACGAGATCAATCATCTGGGAGGTATAAAGTACAACATCAACGGCTGAAGTCACCTCAGAAGTCAGAAGACACCGGTCATGGAGTTTGTGGCGCTCAGTGATACTGTATTGCGGACCCTGGCCCTGGAAGATCCCACCTTACGGCGCGTGTTTCATGGGGTGCACCCCGCCGACCAACTCCCCCGATCCCCCGCCAAAGAGATCCGTCAAGCGTACATTGTCAACACTGATCCAGCGGGAGAACCGGGTCAGCATTGGTTGGGGCTGTGGACAGAAAAGAACCAGTGCGAGATCTTTGACAGTTATGGTCTACCCCTGCACGTGTACACCAACCCAGAGTTGCACCAATGGTGGAGTCAATGGAAGTACCTGACGCGCAGTGACCAGACCCTGCAAGCCCTGGATAGCCAAACCTGCGGCCATTATGCGTTATTTTTCTTGAAAGCCCGTGCGCAAGGACAGTCGTATCAAGAATTTTTGAGTCAATGGAGTTGCGACAATTTAGTGTTGAATGATCATAAAGTGGCCGACCAGTTGAAACGGGTGATTAAACAGGAATTACAAGATGAAGTGGATGCCCGATGTCCTAACGGGGGGCAAAAGAATGTGAGCCGCCAGGCCTTTATCACTTGTAATCATTGTGAGTGTTAAAATAAAAAAACCCATAAAACGAGGTGTGTAGTCCAAGAGTGGTCATTGTAGTTCATCATGATTACGCGAAGCGATGTGCAGCGTGTAGTGGATGCGTTCATTCTCGAAGAAACCTTGTATTGGTGGGAACATCCAATCGAGCGGGTCAACACTGTGCAAGGCATTGACGCGTGGGATGGGTATCATTGGTTAATGGCTCGACAATTGGCGCAAGACCAAGATTGGGTGTCCCTCAAACAGTACATGGACAGTATGAGCGAAACGTATTTAAGAGAGACCATGGAACATCTGATTCAGTGTGAATCACCACGATTGTACCGCGACTATTGGACAACATGCCCAGACGACGACGACCACGACGACAGCGCACCCGACGACCCTGCTTTCGCCAAAACGGGCGCGGCATCATGAGCGTATTGGCCAAAGCGTATAAAATTGGCGACCAATTGGGACGGGACAAACGGTATAAACGCATGGGTGCTAAAGGGGCCACAGGTCATTATCGACGTCACCCTCGACCGTGGGAATCATGATCCGTCAACCCAGTAGTGTGATCATCGCGGGCCCCTCAGGCAGTGGCAAGAGTGAATTGGTGGAACAATGGTTACGGTACCTCAATGTCTTTCAAGTCAAACCCCGCAAGATTGTGTATGCCTATGATCGTTGGCAACCCCGGTTCGAACGTATGCAAAAAAAAGATGGGATTCAATTTCATCGCGGGTTACCGGACCCCCGTCATTTGACGCAATGGTTTGGTCGGACGCGCGGAGGGGTCCTGGTCTTGGACGACCTGATGGAAGAAGGGGGACAAGACAAGCGCGTGTTGGATTTGTTCACCAAAGATTCGCATCATCGCAACATCACGGTGCTGTATTTGACACAAGATTTATTCCCGCCTGGCAAATTTTCCAAGACCATCAATCGCAACGCGCATTACATTGTGGCGTTCAAAAACCCCCGGGATCAAACAGGCATCCGAACCATTTTATTGCAAGCGTTTCCGGAACGGTGGCGTCAAGTCTTGCGCCTATTTAAACGCATCACGGCCCGTCCCTTTGGCTATTTGATGTTAGATGTGCATCCTGCGTCGGATGATCGCTACCGCTTGTGGAGTCATTTAACGCCCCGAGAAGGCAAGGCACAAGTCCACACCTTGCGTGCGGATGTCCCTGCCGTTCGAAAACGAACTGCAACGAGAACTCGCCAGGATTCGTCGGCAAAGAGAAGGCGGACAACATACTGAGTTAGCCGCCCGCATGGACACGCCCACCCTCTCACCCGCGGGTGTGGGCTCCCCCACGGCACCGCCCCCTCCACCCCAGGATCTCAGTAGTATGACGGACATGGTGACCGAATTGTCTCGACCCGTGGATCGTGCTCAATTGGATCAAGACATTGACGCTTTTAATTTGACCTACCCGGTCAATGTGGACGATGCCTTGAATGCGTTCACGTTACCGCCCGTGGCGGGCACCGGCACAGCACCGCCCGCCACCACGGCCACCCAAACCCGCCCTACCACGTCCACCCGAACACGCCCCACCACCAGTCGACCACGACCCGTCACCTCCACCCGAACACGCCCCGCTACCACCGCCACGACCACCACGGCTCCCTCACGTCCCTCCACCTCTCGCCGCAGCGCTGGGGCAGGCACCAGGACCACCACCTCCACAGTGACGACCCCCACTGGACGCCCTACGGTGGCCGCCAAACAACCGCGACGACGTCCCCCCGCCCCACCGTCTCCCGATTCGTCCCCTCCGTCCGATGACGAGGATGAAGATGATGACGATGATCGAGGGCGAGGATTAAGGCGACGGTTGGATTTGCTCAATGAAGATGCTCAAGAACGGGCTCGTGGCCGACGGATTCGCAACATCACGCATACTAATACAGTGACCACCGTCTACGAAGAGGGTGGACGTCCTTCGGTGCGCCGCACGTCCACCCGCACGTCCGGCCCACGACCACCACGACCCCCACGTCGAGGACGAGGCCGTGGCCGTGGCCGTGGACGAGGTGCCAGGTCTGCGTAAACAGAAAAAAAGGTATAAAAACAGGGGTCTCTTATCCGTTGTCCCAAAAAAATGTGTGGTCGTTGTGGACACGCGATGGCTCGGAAACGCAAACGTAGGACGACACGACGACGACCCGCCAAACGACGACGGCGTGTGAGTCAAGTAGGGGGTGTCGCGGCCAGCCTGCCTATGGGCATTCTCAAAGCCGGTTATGGGATCACCAAAGCCATCGGGGATCATCAAACCAAGCGTGCCATCGCTATTGGCGAAAAACGTCGACGAGAAGTGGCTTCAGGCAAACGGAAAAAATATGCGGGGGAATCCTTTAATTGTTCCCTTATGTAAAAACTATAAAAGACCAAAGGTGTGTCCTCCATCGGACAGATCATCATCATCATGTACTGTGGTCCACGACGACGAAAACGACGCCGAAAACAACAAGGGGGTATTCTCCCACTTCTCATCCCCGCGGCTGTTGCTGCAGCCGTCCTCATGAAGAAGAAGAAAAAAGTGGGCAAGATCAGTGCAGCGCAATGGGCAGCCAATAAAAGACGGGTCCGGCAAATGCGGAGTCGAATGGGTTCACCCCCGTTGCGGTTGTTAGGGATATAGTATAAAAGAAACGCCTGTTTGGACATAAGACTCTAATTGAGGATGGTCCGTGGACCCAACGGTCGCCGACATCGTTATGTCCCTCGAATACGACGCCGGCGACGTGGACTCCAACGTGGCGCTAGGCTACCGCTTTTGGCAATGGCTCTCTCGCCTTTGTGGCTCCGGAAATACAAACCCAGAGTCCGTCTTCGACGCCCGGACTAACCGACGACAACGCCCTAAACGAAAAGCCGTCACGTTTGCGTTGGATTGGGATGACCAGTATGACGCGGCCTTGTGTGCACGGTGTCGACATCACATGCAAACGCATTATCATGGCGAATTATGTGGTCGGTGTGGCGCCATTTTTACCATAAATAGACCTTGGTCGTTGCCTGAACTCAAGATTCATCATGGGGTGGCGCATGGAACGTCAAGCCCCGTTCTTGAAAAGTGTCTTACAAGAAGCCAATCAACACAAACGACAAGAATTGTTGCGGATGGCCAATGCGGATCAGATCAATGCTGTCAGTGAATTGGTGATGAACACGCTCCGTGGCACGGTACCCCGTTCCCGACACACCATCACGTTGCTCAAACCCCATGCCCAGAGTTTACGCGCCATGGCCAAACCCGCTCATTCTGTCAAACGACGACGCGCCATCATGATGGCTCAAACAGGGGGTGCCCTCTGGCCCGAACTCTACCGATGTTATAAACGTTGCATGCGCTAGACCAGATCCCTCAGTTGCACCATGGAACCCGAGATGGTCAGCACCACGGTCAACAACGCCCCAGCTTTTTTACAATTACGCGACCAGTACAAACAAGAATTGGTGGAAGATACTCGTTTGACCAAAGCCGCGGATTTAGCGGCCAAGCAACATGTCCTCTTGACCAGTGATGTCCCCGATGCGTGGAAACGGCCTCAACTCAAAGCCGTGAGCCGTCAATTACGCCATTGGACCAAAAAAGTGCGTCAACCCTTTGGAGCACCGACGGGGGGTGTGAGTGCTGCTGGGGCCACGACCCCTGGCGATGATGATTTTGAGGCGGGTCCCATGCAAGCCTGGTTCACGCAATTGGTCAAGGCCACCCAGGGTATAAAACAAGGCACCCCGACGCGTGGACCCAGAAAACCACCTGTCCCGCCCAAACCAAGGTTCACGCCCAGTGCTAAAAAGAAACTCCAGTTTACCACCCCCCTGAGCAGTGCGGAGTTGGCGGACGAGTTGCCTTTTTCTGAGGCGCCTGGAACAGCTCCGTGGGAAACCCCTAAAGAACGTGTAGACTCGATCAAGCAATCATTCAAGCGCGGGATTCGCAAAAGAGCCGCGGATAGTGCCAAAAAGAAAGCTGCGGGTGTCGCCAAAAAGAAAGCCGCTGGTTGGGCCAAAAAAGCCTTGGATTGGAAATCGTGGAAAACCCCCTAAGATGGGACGGAAACGCCGTGCTCCACCCCGTTCCCGAGCGAGGCGGCGACGACAACGCTCGCAACGAGGCGGCAAGTTATTTGATGTGCAGAACCTCCTCAACAAGACAGGCATTGAATTTCATTGGCCCGGTTATCAGTACATGGGACCTGGCACCCATTTGAAAAAACGCTTGGCCCGTGGGGATCCCGGCATCAACCGGTTGGACAGGATTGCGAAAGTCCATGACATGGATTATGATAAAGCCAAGAATTTGAAAGACAAATGGGCCGCGGATCGCAAGATGATTGCCAAGATTGATCAACTCCCCGGCAGTAAAAACTTGACCGAGCGTATTGTGAGACGCATTATGAAAGCTAAACTCCGATTGGGCATGTAAACCCCTTAGTCATAAAAAAAAAAGACAACATTGGTTGAATCACACACATGTTTTAATTAAACTGTTTGTTCTTACAAATACATGTCCATTGTCTGCAAGGCTTCCGCGCGAAGGGTTTGCACCCTGTCCTTTTCAGGCACATACTCAGCCCAGTCTAAAGGCAACCACGGGAGGGGAAAGGGACGCTCCAAGGCTTCGTCCAACCAGGACCAATGTTGACGGCGAATGGCTTCCACCCGTTTCTCGTATCGCTGTTTCTGTAGCGCTTTCCACCCTTCCTCACCCATCTCTTTTCTTTTTTCGGCGGCTTGCTCCCGCCGCTTCGCATTGGTTCGCTGTAGGTAGGCCTGGTACGTCCCCCGGTCCTTCATTTTCTGCCTCCAGTTTTTTTGGCATTGGTTGTTTTTGCGTTTGACCACCTCCCGTTGTTCCTCGGTCATGCCATAGTACCGCCGCATACCCTCTTGGGTCTTTTTGACCTTAAAGGCCTCGTATTCGCCATTGGCTTTCATACGAGCCATCCGTTCGTGATAACGACGACGGTGGAGGGCCTTGACGTCCTCGATCCCATTCACTTTGGCATACAGACGTTGCCGATACGCTTTTTGTTGAACTTTGTTTTTTTCAGGGTCCCGTTTTTTTCTCCTGGGGGGCTGGCGCGATCCTAGTGTATCCATGCTCTAACTCCAACACTTGGGCGGCACACACGTCTGCTAAGGCCCGTAACTTTTTAAAGGGATTGGGCAAAGTCTGTCTGTTCTGGGCACGACGGTCCCGTTGCTGTTGGACAATCTTGTCGCGGTGACGACGATAATACGCTCGATTCACAGCCCGCACTTGCGCCACATGGGCCGCTCGGTACCGGTTGCAGGCCAACCGATTCAACTCGCGGGCTCTGGCAATCTGTTCCGGGGTCGGAGGCGGTTTGGGTGGTTTGGGCGGTTTGAGCTTTTTCTGAGCCGCTCGCTTCTCACGCTTCTGTGTCGCAATCCTTTCCCTGTGTTTCAGGTACCACCGGTGTTTAGCTTCTTTCACCTTTTCGGGATCTCGATTAGGCATGTCTCAATGGTAACTGACGTCTGGTCTGGACGAGGGCCTATATCTAGCCATCTCTCTGCCAATCAGCAATCTCGCTCCAGGCTCAGAGGAGACTGGAAAAATCTGTACCCATGGGGGGCACCCCCCTCAATCCTCCTCCTGTCGAATCAACCCCTTACTTGACTCTCACCTGACTCTCACCTGAGCCCTCTCCACCAATCCCCATTCGACTGATCACGTGTTTTTGGGGTCTATAAAAGCCAGCGTCTAGCGCGGGAAAATTCAAATTGTCTCCTCCGTCATGGCGGAAGACGCTTGGTATCCTGACAGTGACGAGGAGGAAGAGGCTCTGTTGAACCGCGCTTATGACCGGTGGGAACAGTTGGGAGGGGCCGCTCCCGCCCGAGGCCCTCTTTTTCAATTCACCATGCAACCCATTGGTCGACGACGCCGCTGGCGCAATGTGGTGGAGCGGGCGCAATTCAACGCGCAATTGCGTCAATTGAGGGATCCTGTGCCTGGGGACAATATTGGGATGGCACTCACGGAAGCATTACACCAAGCCATTGAAACGGAACTCGGCCGTGAACAGCGACCTGCCCATCATTTTGTGAACTTTGCCATTACAGCGCATGGGTTCACTCACGCGTATCAAACCGCCAATTTTACTGTGGGGGAATTTTTACAACGTACCGCTCGTTTGGATGAGATGTTAGCTACCCTAGCTGGCAAGTCAAACAGCAATGAAGCCTTCAACCCCGATCGCGGGTTCCAAGTGGATGTGGTGTTTGTCTCCATGCCTGGCCCAGGGTCTGGTCGACATACGAAAACACTCAATGCAGGACGTTCATGTTTGGATCGAGTCAATAAGAAAAAGAAATGCATTGTCACCATCCGAAACAGAGATGCCCTATGCTGTGCCCGTGCCATTGTCACCATGCGAGCCCATTGCCATAAAGATCAAGGCGTGGACGGGTTTCGCGACTGGGACAATCTCAAACGTGGTCTTCCTGTGCAGCAACGTCAAGCCCAGGCCCTCCATCAACAAGCGGGCGTGGCGGAGGGTCTCTGTGGTTTACCCGAGCTTCGTCAATTTCAACAAGCGTTGGGGTCTCAATATCAACTCTTGGTGATGACCCGGATGAAACCGTTCTTTTTGATCTTCAAAGGCCCCACTGCCCCTCATCAGATTCGTTTACTCAAATCCAACGATCATTTTGATGGCTGCACGTCTTTTCCCGCGTTTGTCAACCGCTCCTATTATTGTGTGGACTGTGAACGAGGGTTCAACACCAACGATCGGACCAATCACACCTGTCAAGGGAGACGTTGCTCTGCGTGTGGGCGCTTTGATTGTCCGGAGTATGTGCGTGGCACCCGCCCCACCGAGTATTGCAGTCTGTGTCACCGCAAGTTTTATGGTATCGATTGTATGCAATATCATGTGGTCAGCCGACAATGTCAATCCATCAAATGCTGTCGCAAGTGTCAAGCCC